GCCTGGGGAATCAGCGGAAGACGGCCCGAGTGCTTGGGCCCTGCCGCCCACGTGGGAGGCCTGGGTGAAGCTCCCGGCTCCTGGATTTGGCCTGCCCCAGCCCCAAAGTGAACAAGCAGACAGAACAGCGGCTCCCGGCTCCCCGCCGCCCGCCCAGGGGGCTGCATGGGGTGGGTTTCTTGCTTGTGCCTCGGGGCTGCCGACGGCCTTCTCCCAGGCTCCAACCCTGACTATGGACGGAGGACAGGATCCTCTCCAGAGTGCATGGGGAGGGCACTGTCACTGATGGTGACGCCGCGAGCAAGGGAACGGGATGTAGTCCCTGCAAAGCCCCAGGGACCCCCCCCCCCCACGCACCGCCCACCGAGGTTCACGCGGGCGGGTGGGCGCCTGTGTGGGTCTCTGGCTGTGAGCCGCCCGCCCACCTCGCTCCCCGAGCGCGCCCTCACCATGGGTCCCGGCTCGAACTGCAGGGCCACGTGCTGCAGCAGCGCCATCAGGTGGGCGGGGCGCTGCTTCACCTGCTCCAGGCTCTGGAACTGGCTGCTCTGCTCCTCCGCGTTCTGGAGATGAGCACAGGGGGGCTGCGCTGTACCCACCCCTCCCGACACCTCCCGCTGCATCCAAGCTGGGAGGTGGGCAGCAGAAGGCGTGGGTTTCGTGTGGCACAGGTAGGCGAGGACAGGAAGCAGGAGGGACGGGTGGGGGGGGGGCAGGGACAGGAGCTGTGGTGGGGTCCCTGAGGATGGGGTGGGGAGGTACCAGGAAGAGGTGGGCAGCAGGAGGCGGGGACAGGAGCTCCGCGCCCGCTTCCCACGGCCCGCTCACCATCTCCAGGTCGTTCTCAAAGTCCTCATCCTCGGCGCCGATGATGCTGACGGGCGCCAGGCCAGGCCGGGGCGGCCCCGGGGCCTGTGCGAGACGGGGGACGGGCTCAGCCCCCGCTGCTCCCCACCTGGCGGCCCCAAGCCCCTCACCCCCGGGCTGCCCACTCACCGCCCCGCGGGCGACCTCCTCCAGCTCCATGGGCTCCGCAGGGTGGGGGAAGAGGCGGGGGAGGCGCGGGCGGGCGCTCGGTCACTCGGGATCCCTGTCCAGGTGCGAAGGTGAGTAAACAGCCTGCCCCAGCCCGGCCTCCGCGGCTCAATGGGGCCTCTGTGCGGCCACAAAGAGCCCTTCAGAGGCCAGCCGGGGCGGGCGGGGCCCAGACCTCTGGGTCAGAGGGACCAGGGGGCGGGAGGCTGGCTCCAGAGGGCAAGCGCAGGTCGGGAGGGGAGAGCAGGGGTGCGGGGGGGCTCTCCCCCCTCTTCTGCGACAGCCCTGGTCAGGATGTTGCTCCGAACCCACCGGCCCCACTTCCTGTCACAGGAAGTCACAATGGCAAACCCCCAACCCCCACCACGGAAGAAACGAAACCAGACCCCCCCCCCCGCCCTCGGGGAGCCCCCCACCCAGAGGCCCTCCTTCCCCTCAGGAAGCTCCTGTGTTCCCCGGCCAAGGGGCCGTGTGTGCCCAGGCTGCACCTGTCCCCTGCCCAGGTCCTCTTCCGGCCGTCGGTCGCCCCTCCCCTGGCCTCCGGCTCCCCCTCCTCGGGTGGTCTTCCCCACATCCCCTTCCAGTCTCCGCTGCCCCAAACCCTCCCACCTCCGCCCCCGGGTTAGTCATGGGTGAGGCGGACCCGGGGGTGGCTCCCTACGGCCCAGAGTTATTTATAACCCGGGACCTGCCCTTCTCCCTCTTCCTGGGTCTCCTCCCTCCCTCGCCCACAGCAGCTGTGATCTGGACTGGGCTCATGGGACAAGGATGCTTTCTGGGGTGCCCCGGGGGTCCACCTGAGCAAGCATCGTCTCCAGCCCTTCCCGAAAGGGTATCTGTCCACCGAAGGCGTGGGTGGTTCGGGACTGAGCACTGAATGCCCAGGTCAGGTTGCCCCGCAAGGCAGGAGAAGCAGAGTCATTATTTTTTTAAGGAGAGCTGAGCTCACCAGCACCGCCGGAAGTGCTTCTGGGGACGAAGTCCCTGAACCCGCCCGCCCGTCTGCCTCCCGCACGGTAGGGAACCTGCGGCATCCGGGCTGGGAGACGGGACCACGGGCGTGGAGGGTCCACGCTCAATCTCAGCCCAGTGAGGGCAGGGAGCCCCCCACACTCCCCGAGGTAAGCACTCAGACAACAGGACAACAGTGTGAACGGTAGCTGACACCTGGGGGCAGCGATGCAGGGCCGGCCGCCCCACCCTCTGCACCCAAAACCCTGAGACCCGCCAGGTCTTCCCAGATGCCAGCAAAGCCGCGGGTGTGCGGGTGCGGGGGTGCGGCCGCTGTGGCCTGGGCAGGTCCAGTGTGTGCCGTGCGGGACGCGGGAGGGGAGGGGGTCCAGGAGGGCGAAGCTGTCCGAGGACGGAGGGGTCCACAGACGACCCGCAAGGCCTGTGGTCCAGCAGAGGGAGCCCTGGGTGCAGCGCCGCGGGGGCACCCAGCAGTCAGGGCACCTGGCCGGAGCTCAGGGTGCGACAGGCGTGGAGCGGACGACCCCAGGCCCCCGGGAACCGGGGCGGGCCGTAAAGGAGCTAAAAGGAGCCCTTGGAAACTTCAAGTCCGTTCCCTCTGCCACTCGGTAAGGGACCCGAGGGTCCTGCAGGGAAAGCCCCCGGAGGCTTCAAAGGGGCGCAGAATTGTACAGGACTCGAGGTGGGTGCCGGGATGTAGTGTATACGCCCCCTACTCAAGGGGATGCTATGGCCACGAGGACCCCACGTCTGTAAGAAGGGGTCTCAGGGAAGGGGCGCTGCGCAGGAGACCCTGAGACCTACAGGGGCCGCGGCGGGTCCACACAAGCCCCAGAGCATCCATGGGACGTGGCGGGGCTACACGGGCCTTAAATCCTACAGGGGACGTGGCGGTGTGCACGGCCCGGGATGCTGGACGGACCCGCAAAATCAGGGTGTGACGCCCGCCGGGGACCGCGCGTCCCTCACCTGCTCCGGGTGGGAAGAGAAGCCCCCGCGGCCGCCGGGACCGAAGCCTCCGCGCGCTGGCTCCGGGATGCCCCCACCCCCGCCGCCGAGTCGCTCTAGCCGCCCCCGAGGCGGCCTGCGCGCCCAGCTCCACTCCTCCCGCCGGCCGCTCTAGCCAGGCTCCTGCCGCGGCGACTCTACTCCTCCTGCAGGCCGCTCTAGCTCTCCGCCGCGCCACGCTGGCCGCACAGGGCCGCTCTGGCCTGCCTTGGAGGGCCGGCGCTTCCGTATCTCCACTGTCCCGTCACTCCGCCGGGCCCCGCCCCCGCCCCGCCCCGCCCCCCACCCGGAGGCGCGGAGGCTTCCAACTCCGCGGTGCAGCTGGACGCGGGACCTGAGCGGCCCCGGCCCGGAATCCCGGAGCCGGGGACCGGCCGAGGCCCCGCGACGCCCCCTCTCCCTGACAGGCGGGGTGACTTCCCACGAGCAGCCTCAGTCTTCCCTTCTGCACAATGGGCGAGCTCTCCGGCTCCCTGCCCTGCACTTATCTCCCAGGGGATAATGCATGATCCGGAAACCAGCTTCCCAAACGCGCCGTGCGGCTCTCAGCTCCACAGCGGCCCACGCCGTGTTTTCCTTTACGAGTGGCTCCGAAGCACGCGGGGTTTTCCACGGGCCACCTCCACACGGCCTCTCGCTGGGCTCCTGGGCCTCAGTTTCCCCACCCGCACCCCAGGGCTGACCGCGCGTCCTCCGCCGAGCCGTGGGGAGGCCCGGGACCCGGCCTCGCGCGGCCGCCACCCGCCGGCGGGCGCTCGGCGAGCGAGGCTCTCTCCCTCGGCCCCCTTTCCCAGACGGGAACACTGAGGCGCGGGGCCGGGGTCGGTACCTGAGTCGGCGGCGGCGCCCGAGGTCGGCCTCGGCGGTCCGGGGCCTGCGTCCCGGCTCCCGCTTCCTGGCTCCGGCGGGGCAGGAAGTCGGCGCGTTTTTTCCGGAGCCCCCGCCCCGCCGCCCCTCCCCGCTTCCTGCCCGCGCCCCGCGCCCGCTCGGCACCTCCGCTTCCTTCCCCTTCTCGCCGGCCGCCCCACCTACCCGGCCCCGGCCCGGCCCGGCCCCACCTACCCGGCCCCGGCCCGGCCCGGCCCGGCCCCACCTACCCGGCCCCGGCCCCGGCCCCCGGCCCCCGCCCCCTCCCCACTTACCCGGCCCCGGCCCCCTCCCCACTTACCCGGCCCCCTCCCCCCTTACCCGGCCCCGGCCCGCCCCGGCCCCCTCCCCACTTACCCGGCCCCGGATCCCGGACCCCGCCCCGCCCCACCTGCCCCGGCCCCCGCCCCGCCCCGGCCCCACCTACCCGGCCCCGGCCCGAACCGGGCCCCCGCCCCGGCCCCACCTACCCGGCCCGGCCCCGGACCCCGGCCCCCGCCCCGGCCCCCTCCCCACTTACCCGGCCCCGGCCCGCCCCGGCCCCCTCCCCACTTACCCGGCCCCGGCCCGGCCCCCCCGCCCCGCCCCGGCCCCACCTACCCGGCCCCGGCCCGAACCGGGCCTCGGACCCCGGCCCCCCTCCCCGGCCCCACCTACCCCGGCCCCCGGCCCGGCCCAGGCCCCGCCCCGCCTACCCTGCGCCCCCCCCCCCGCCCCTGCCCCGCCCCACCTACCCCGCCCCGGCCGCGCCTGGTCCGACGACCCCGCACCCTGGGCAGCCCCGCGCCGCTAGCTGGAGGAGCCGGGGTCCGAGCTGCGGCCTGGCCTGCCGGCCGTCCCTCCTCAGTCCCCCACTGCCCATCTCGCGTGGGGTCTCTCCGCAGCCCGCGCTGTCCCTCGGAGCCCTCTTGGCTCCCCGCCTCCGCCCCCCACCAAGTCCCTGTGTGGCCGGCGGGCCCTGCACCCGTCCCTGTCTGTCTCAGTCGCTGTCTCTCTGGCCCTACTCCTCGGATGGAGACCAGGCTCCTTAGCTGGGTGGCCCGGGTGCGGCCCCAGGTGTGGGAGTGGGCCAGGGCGGGAGGGGGCTGCCCCCCTGAGATCCATCACTGCTGCCGAGGTCGGCAGTGGGAAAGGATTTATTATCACTAAGTGGCCATGACAGAGCGGGGCGGGGGCACTAGGACGCTGCCCGTCGATTAGGGGCTCGTTCCCGCGGGGGAGGGGAGCAGAGGGGGGACTCTCGCTGCAGAGGTCTGGGACAGTGGAGAGGCCGGGGCGTGGGGGCTGGTGTGGTCATGGCTTCTCCAGCTGCACGTCTCCGATGTGGAGGCTGCCCACGTCCTGGTAGGTGCCCTGGAGGCCCCGGGAGATGTCCTCGTACATGGAGCAGTCGTCCAGATTCAAGCCCTGGAAACAGCGTGGGGTCAGCACCTGCCCAGTCCCCAGCCGCCCCCAGGGAGGAGCCGGGCAGACCCTCGAGGCCCCCACCCCACGCTCACCTCGTAAAGATTCTCGTCTTCGTAGTCGTCCTGGGCGTCCACTGCGAATTTCTCATTCTGCCAGCGCTTCTGCAGGGGTGGGCGGGGGGGATAACCTTTCAGACCCTCCCCATGCCAGAGGGGTGGGGTGGGGTCCAAAGCTGGTGTCCTTAGGCCTGTCCCCACGAGTGATGACGACAGTGACTCAGAGTAGCGGCCCTGTGGCCGAGACAGCGCGGGGAGGACGCCCAGCCCCATCTTCCCAGTTATTTGAAAGGCGGAACGAGAGAGAGAGAGAGAGAGAGAGAGAGAGAGAGAGAGAGAGAATCTTCCATCCGCTGGTTCACTCCCCCAGTGGCTGCAACAGCCAGGGCTGGGCCAGGCCAAAGCCAGGAGCCAGGAGCTCCGTCTGGGTCTCCCACGTTGGGTGGCAGGGCCCTAGTACTTGGGCGGGGGTCTGCTGCCTCCCAGGGCACATTAGCAGAGAGCTGGGTGGGGAACAGGTGCTCCATGATGCCGGCACCGCCAGTGGAGGTTGGACCTGTTGTCCACCATCTTACCTGGAGGGTGCCGGCAGGCACTCCTGGGCTGGGGGTGGGGGGCAGGACAGACACCCCCTGGGGGTTAGAATGACTCGCCTTTGAAGGGAGGTGACTGCGGGGGGGGGAGAGGCAATGAGGGGGCGTGTCCTGGGCTCAGCATCATTTACAGTCCTTGCCAAAGCGCAGGGTGGGGACTTGGAGGCCTGAGCCCTGGCAGGCTGGCTGGGCGGGGGGGGGGGGGGGTGCGGGGGGGGGGGGGGCTCACCCTGAACAGCAGCAGCGTCCCGGGCACCACGGCACAGAACAGCAAGATGATGCCCTCGGCTGTGATGATGCGGTTCTTGGTGCCCTCGCCCATGTCCAGGAAGGGTCTGGGGGGCGGCTCTGTGGGAGGGGCTGCTGCTTAGGCTCCTGGCACCGGCTGCCCGCCCTCCCTCCAGCCCCCTGACCCCAGCCAGCGCCGGCCACGCCCCCAGCGCCCTTGGCAGAGCGTGCTCACCGCGCACTCGGAGGTAGGTGCCGCAGGAGTGCCGCTCCATGTCCCCGTCTTTCACGGTGCACTGGTACATGCCACCGTGGCTCTTGTTCACCTTGGCGATGACCCATTCGCCACTTTCCGTGGAGGCCTGGCCCAGGTAGTAGCGTGGCCACGAGCAGTTGCCCTGCCCGATGAACCACCAGGAGACGTTGGCACTGTTGCTGCCGTTGTTTTCGCACGGGAGGTGGGCCCGGTCCCCCAGGCTGACGGTCATGGACGGTGGGCCCTCCTTTATCCACAGGGCCTGGCACTCGGGGCCTGCGGAGGGAAGGAGCCGTCAGGGCCTGGGGAAGGCGAGGCCCCCCTGGCTGCTCCCTCTTGCACCCCCACCACCCAGGAAGTACCCTGGCCAGGTCAGATCCCTTCCTGTTCCGATCCAGCCCACCCTGCCTTGCGTGCATATGTGTCTGTGTGGGTGAGTGTGGCCAGCCCAGGGGCAGGGCGTGAGTTCTGTCCTTGAGCCAGGCTGGGAGCTAAGGGAAGTGGCTCAGCAGGGAAGAGAGAAACTGGACTGGACGATGTCACTGCCCTAGGCCAGTCCACATGGCCCACGGGGGAGGGGGCTGAGGAAGAGGGGAGGAGGAAGAGGTGGGGGAAGGCCCAGCGGCTTCATGGTCATGGGCGTGCGACACCCAGATGAGCTCCAGGCCCTCCTGGAGACACTGTGGTGAGCCACCTTGCTCTTGGAGCCCCTCGGTCAGCCCGGGCGCAGCCCCTGCCAGGTGCCGGCCATCGGGGGCTCGAGGGAGGTGGTGGAGGCCCCACCTCCCCCCAGAAAGGGCTCCTTCTACAGGGGGGCCGCTGAGAGTCCTCCCCTCCCCCCAGGGCCCCATTCTGCACCAGCGCAGTGCTCAACCTCGCAAGTTCCTTATTTTGACCTGTGGGGCTGCCTCCCTCCACGGCGCTGTGGACGCCCCGGGCTCCCTCCGGCCTCACCTTGGCTGGCTCAGGAGTGTAGCTCCTGTGTCCCATATGTCGCCTACGGCAACGTGCAGGACTGCTACGGGGAGGGGGGTCATCCCCAGCTGCCCACCCTTCCCTCCGTCTCCCCCACCCCTCTGCCGGCCGCCCACCCAGCGCCCACCCCTCCGCCACATACCCAGGCAGGCCAGGAACAGCAGGAAGAGGGGGAGGAGGGGGGCAGGCGGACCTGGGCGGGCTCGCAGACCCCCAGGCATCTTCTCCCCGTGGGTTGGTTGGTCTGAGCTGCGGCAGTCCTGGGGTACCAGATTCCACGCCAAGCCCCACCCCACTTCCGGCCCAGCCTTCGCGGAGATGGGCTCCGCTGACCCGGTGCTGGGCTCTCTGGCTGTTGGGCCTGAGAGCGGGGGAGGAGCTGCCCCTGCACCTGTGGTAGCCGCAATTCCCCTGAGGGGCGGGGGAAGAAGGCACGCACAGGCTGCCTCAGCGGCGTCTGGGGAGGTGAGGGAGGGAGCCGAGGTGCAGGGTGCAGCTGTCCCTTGGCCCTGTCCCGGCACACCCTGCACCTCCCCTCTCTGAGCCTCTGTTTTCTCGCTTCTTGGGGGACAGGAGTAAAGGAGCTGCCCCCCCACCCCAAGCGCTAAGCGCTCAGAAAACGTCGCTTGTGTTGAACAGGCGGCCCCCTTGGTGGCCTCCCTCCTCCAGGCCCTGGCATGGAAACGATGTATTTATTGAAAAGGCAGTGATGGAGAGGGATCCTCCATGCATCGGTTCACTCCTCAGATGGCTGCCACAGCCAGGGCGGGGCCCGTCTCCCAGCACCCGGGCCGTCCTCTGCTGCTCTCCCAGGCGCATCAGCAGGGAGCTGGGTTGGAAGCAGAGCGCCGGGGGCTTGCATCGGTTCTTCAGTATGGGATGCTGGTGTCGCAAGCTGCAGCTCAGCTCTGTGCCACAGTGCAGGCAACGTGGCCGACAAATGGAGGGCAGACAGAGCTCTTCCACCTGCTAGTCCCCCTCCAACAGCTGGCTGGGTCACGCAGGAACTCCATGTCTCCACACGGGTGGCAGGGACCCAAGTACTTCAACCAGTGGGTGGGTGGGAAATTGCTTTGTGTCTCTCCCTGTCACTCTGCCTTTCAAATAAATACATCTTTAAAAGATAATGACTTCAGTGTTTGGTCCCTGCCACATGGGAGACCTGGGTTGAGTTCCTGGCTCCTGGTGGCCCAGCCCTGTTGGAGGGAACATTTCTGTCTTCCTTCCTTTCAAGTAATAAACAGTCCACTGTAGGGAGATTTTCCTTTTCAAAGATTTGAAAGGCAGTGACGGATCTTCAGCCAGCTGGTTCACCTGCCAAATGAGGTCTTTTAGATTTTTATTTATTCATTTGCAAGGCAAAGAGATTGAGATCTTCTATCATCTGGTTCATTCCTCAGTGGCTCCAAGGGCTGCGGCTGAAGCCAAGAGGCCAGAACCCCACTCAGGTCTCCCCTGCAGGTGCAGGGGCCCAAGCTCTTGGGCCATTTCTCCACTTTTTCCCCAGGAGCATTAGCAGGGAGCCGGATGGCCGGTGGAGCTGGCAGGACTCGAACCAGTGCCCGTATCAGGTGCTGGGTTTGTAGGCAGCAGCTTGACCCGCTGTACCATAACGCTGGCCCTGAGCCCAAACACTTGTCAGCACCTGCCGGCTTCCCAGGCACATTAGCACAAAGCTCATCTCAAGTGCAGCAGCTGGGACCTGAACCGGAGCTCCCACATGGGGTGCCAGTCACAGGTGGCAGCCAATCTGCTGTGCTACAGTGCCAGCCCCACAGGGGGATTTTTAGTGTCAACAATTAGTAAAGGGGCCGGCGCTGTGGCGTAGCGGATAAAGCTGCTGCCTGCTCCTCTTCCGATCCAGCTCTCTGAGGCCTCTGCACCTGCAGTGTCCTTACAGGACGGGTGTGGGGGTGCTGGGACCCTAGTGCACAGCAGGGGAAGCACACCTGGCTGCCCCTGGAGTGACAGCGGGGGTGGAGCCACAGTGGGGTGAGAGGCCTCATTCCTGAGGGGCACCCCCAGGACGCCGCACGCCTATCGTCACTTGCTTCCTGGGCTGGAGGGTCCCAGGGGGGTTGTCCACTATAGTGAGCGTCTGTCTGGTTGCCTTCCTTTGAGGCTGTGGCCCAGTTCCCTTTGAACCCGGGTCCTCCCCTTCCCATGCAGGGTGTTCCTTGAGGGGCAGGTCATTGGCTCCTCTATGCTTCTGTTCCTTCTGCCCCTCCCAGCAGATCGGGATCCAGAACTGGAAGCCGGACCTCATCTTTCAAGGCTGAGCGGCTTCCAGGGCCTCCACTGCCCCCCAGTGGCCGGAGAGGCGCAGACAGATGCCTGGCGCTGAGCTCTGGGGAATGCCTTCCCTGGGGGGAGGGGCCAGGCCGGGGAGCAGCTGGGGGCTCCACGTGATGGGGTCTCCTCATCGGTGGGGCGGCTGGCAGACTACCCAACCCCTCACCTCCTAAGTGGGGCTGCACAGAACAGCACTCAGGCCCATCTCACTGGCCGCTCCCCATGGAATCCTGGCCCGGGAAGGAGCCATGTCCCCTGCTGGAAGTGGACCGGTCATCGGGGCAGTTTGCGGGACCATCACTCCCAGAGTCAGCAAGGCCAGTTCAGAACTAGCTGCACCCAGCGGGGGCCCAGGGTCCCAACCACGGGGGGGGGGGGGCGTGCAGTGGAGGCAGGCACGGCGGGGCAGGCCCCAGGTGTGTGCTCGGCGCCTGCCTTCCTCCACCCGCCCTGGTCCTGGGCTTCACACAGCTGCTCCTCTGCTCTCTTTCCCGAATTGCAGGGACAGGACAGGACAGGACCAGGGGCAGGCAGAGGGACAGCTGGGACATCCTGCCTCCTGGGGAAACCAAGTGCAAAGCCTGGGCCTCACTGCCGCACCACAGGCACCTGTCAGGGGGGAAAGTGCCCCTTCACCCGCGCCCCACGGAGCAGCCAATCAGGAGCCAGACCAGTTTACGAATGAGGCAATTTATTGACCCAGCATCACTTGTTTTAATGTTTCTTGTTGGCAGCTGCCACCTGTGGGAGAAGACGGCGAGGTCAGGGCGGGGCCTATGCGGGGGGTGGGGGGCCTCTGCAGCAGCCCCCACCACACGGCCCGGCCTTGCAGTTCCAGTGGCTCAGCTGGCCCCACAACTACTTTTCCCCACTGCCCCCAAGGAGGAAGCAGTGTGCCCCACGGGCCCAGCCACCTCCTTCCCTCCACTGCCCCCACCAGGCTAGGCTGTGGGAGGACCCAGCCCAGACACGCCCAGGCAGCGATGGAGAGCCAGCCCCAGCCCCCTGTGGGCCTCACCTGTCCAGCGATTCTGTCCAGATCTCTTTGTCCCTGAGGTGTCAGTTTGCGGCCCCTGCGGGAGGGAAGGGGTCGTGCACACGTTCAGCCCCCTCGCGCCTGGCTCTGGACCACACGGGCCAGGTCCCCGAGGGAGCCCGGTGGCTGGAGGCCCCTGGACCACATGGGCCAGGTCCCCGAGGGAGCCCGGTGGCTGAAGGCCCCTGGACCACACGGGCCAGCTCCCTGAGGGAGCCCGGTGGCTGAAGGCCCCTGGACCACACGGGCCAGCTCCCTGAGGGAGCCCGTGTAGCTGGAGGCCCCTGGACCACATGGGCCAGGTCCCCAAGGGAGCCTGGTGGCTGGAGGCCCCTGGACCACATGGGCCAGCTCCCCGAGGGAGCCCGGTGGCTGGAGGCCCCTGGGAGCTGATGGGGCAGTGCTGTGCAAGCATCAGATCAAAATCCCCAAAAAGTAGTGGCCAAGTTAGGGGGCAGGCTCATGAGGGCGGAGCCAGGGTGGTCGGTGGAAGCGGCCCCGCCCCAGGCGCCCACTTACCCGTCCTGGTCCTTTTCCACCATCTTCAGCCCCTCCAGGGCCTGCAGGACGCGGCGGGCCACGCTCTTGGAGCCGCGGCTGAAGTGGCTGGGCATGACGCCGTTCCTCTGCCGGCCCCCGTAGATCTTGGTCATGGAGCCGACGCCAGCACCGCCCCGCAGGTACAGGTGCCGCGCTGTGGACGCTGGGGGTGGGGTGGGGACGTGAGGACCCTTCGTGGGCAGGAGGGGTCTCTGCACAGCTGCGGCCACGCGCTCCCCGCGAGCGGAGAACCCTCTGGTGAATCCAGGCGGGACGCCTCACCCACACCCGAGGCCAACAGGCACCCGGCAGCGGCGTGCAGATGCGGGCGAGGCTCCAGGGCCTGTCCGTGCTCTGCCACTGCGGCTGCAGGACCGAGGCCTGGATGCGGGAAGCCCGGCCGCCCGGGCCTGCCCAACTGGGCTGGGATTTCCAGGGCTGAGACCTGCAAGCGGTGTTGGTGGCCTGGGTGACAGCAGCGTCCCAGCCCTGCAGACCAGTGGGGAGGGCCTCCTCTCTCCTGACTACAGCCCAGGAGCCAGGCGCTGAGACCAAGGCGAGGTGGGTGCTCCCCTCGCTTCAGCCTCCCCCTGCCCCTGGAGACCTAAGATGCGGGGGAGGGGCCGGTGCTGGGGCACCATGTGTGTGTGCCCCGCATGGACACCTGGACGCCCGTTGAGCCCCGGCTGCTCCACTTCTGGTCCAGGCCCCTGCTCGTGCGCCTGGGAAAGGCAGCAGGAGATGACTCAGGTGTCTGGGCCTGGCACCACGCGGGAGACCCCGATGAAGCTCCTGGCTTCAGCCTGGCCATGGTGGCCACCTGGGGAGGGAGCCAGCAGGCGGAAGGTCTCTCTCTCAAAATAAATAAGTCTTAAAAAAATGCAAAAGGAGCTTTTTCGCATTTTCCACAAACTTTTGGGATCACAACATTCTTCTGCAGCAAGACACGCCCTCTTCCTGCCACGGCCACCCTGCCTCTGCTCAGCTCAAAACCACCATCTGGCCGCCCATTCTGCCTCGGCCTTGACCCAGGCCCCACCCCTACAGCCTGCCCCTCTGCCGGGCCTCACCTCACCCCCAATCTGCCGTCACAGCAACCTCACTGGAAGCCCCGTTCAATGCCACCCCTTCCCGGCCGCCTGCACCCGGGACAGCCCCGAAGGGCTGAGACGCCCAGACGGCAGCAGAGGCTGTGCCCAACAGGACCGGAGGCCTCTGCTCAGCTCGGGTCGACAGGGGAGGGGGGTGTCTAACCCAGCACTGCTCCTCTCCCGTAGCAACACGGAGCCTGCCATCCCTGGGGAGGCTCGCGGAGAACACGCACGCCCAGCGAAGCCAGCTGGACTCACGGCTGACTGCTGCCTTAAACCCCGCTGGTGGTCACCGGTAGCCAAGCCAGGCCGTCCTCATCACAGCGCCTCCCCTCCTTGGGAGGGCCACTCTGGCCCCTGCAGTCACCCTACCGTGTGGCCACACCCCCACCCTCTCCTATACAAGGGGTTTCTTCTGCCAAGGGCCACACCAAAGAATCACCTTAGCAAGTGCACCACGGCTTCACTGGACTTCAAGCGCTGCCTGTGGTTGCTGGGCAGGGCCACACTGAGCCCTGGGCTGATGTCCCCCCCATGCCAGACTGAGGGTGGAGGCTGACTCTGCACTTGAGGGCCTGTGCAGACCGACAGCCCAGCCCCAGTCACCCCTTCCTCCCACCCACGCCCGTCACAGCCCGCGCAGGACCGGGGCCGCCTGCACCACAGACGCCCCAGCTCAGCAGGGCCCCCACCCAGACGCCACTCTCGACCCCCCCTCCCTTCTGAAGGTCAGGCAGCCCCCTGCAGCGAGCGGCGTCCCACTCGTGCCCGGTCCCCGGTCCCCGTCCTGCCCGGACGCTGCACTCCCCACCCGGCTCCCCGCCACCCTGAGGGGGACTCTGGCCTGGCCCCGTCCACACTGTTGAGGCCACTTGGAAGAGCTCACTCTGCCTTACAAGTAAACGAATTACAAAAATGGCCAAGGCAGCACAGATCCGAGGGTCAGACGGAGCCGGCCGGGTGGGCAGGGGCACCCAGGGGCCAGGGCCGGCTTAGGAGACGCTGCAGGCCCGAGGCGCAGCCCGGCCACCCTGCACCGGCCGGCGTGGCCGCATCCCAACAGAAACGCACGGAGCAGGGCCCTGGTCCCGAACCCAACCCTGTGCCAGACAGACCAGAACTCCACGGGCAAGCCCTGACGACGACTCACCGGGGTCACCCAGGGTCTTCGGCACAGCCAGCGCCACCCCGACCCCACCCCCACCAACCTCTCCGCTAGCCGAGGCTGAGCCCCGCCGACCCCCAGTACCGGCTCCCGGGCCTCGTGGACACCAGGCGCAGTGCACCTGCCGCTCGCGGCCTCCGGCGCGGGACACCCCGTCTCGGGGTCACCCTCGAGCGCCTGCAGTTCCCCGGAGCCCAGCACGGCCCCCCGCCCCCACCCCACCCCGGCCCGCGCCCAGCCCCCGCGCCTCACCGGCTCGCGTGTAGAACCAGTTCTCATCGTAGGGGGCTAGCTCCTTGTGCTTGGCCAGCTTGACGGTGTCCACCCACTCGGGGACCTTCAGCTTCCCGGACCTGCCCGCGACAGCGACACAGGCCCCGGTGAGACCCCCGCCCGCCCCGCGCGGCCCGCCCCGCCCGCCCTGGGCCCCGCACTCACTTTTTGAGGAAGGCGGCCAGAGCTCGGACGAACTCCTGCTGGTTCACGTCCTTTACGGTGACTCCAGGCATCTGCGGCGGCAGTCAGGCCGGTGACCGCGGCGGCCCCGCCGGCCCCGCCGCCGCGGCCCCGCGCCGGGAACCCAGCACGACCCCCTGCGCGCCCGCATCGCCGGTCCGGGCGCCCCCCAGCCCGCACTCTCCGCTCCCACACCTCGCCGGCCGGGCATGTCCGGGCCTGCCGCCCGCACGTGGCCGCGGCTGCAGGGGGCGGGGCGGCCCCGCGCCGGACGCCCCCGGGCTCTCGGGCACGCGCTCCCGGCTGCTGGAACCCGGCCCCGGCGCCCCGTGCCCAACCCGACCCGGAGCGCCCGCTTACCGTGCGGCCTCCGCGCTGCCAGCCAGGGGAAAGGGAGCGACGGGGTTTCCCGGGCGCACAAGTCGGGCGTAGGATCTCGCGAGAGTTCCGAGGGCTCGCGAGAGCAGAGCTACGGCAGGTGGCTCCGCCTCTCTCAGGGCGAAGGCGGCTTCGTTTCCGCTTAGATGGGCGGGTGTGTAGTCAGAGGCGGAGAGGCAAAGGGAGAGGCCAGGGGCAAGGGCGTAGAGGCTGGTTTCCTTTTTGCCCGTCCTTCTTCCGGAGGCCTGGGGGGAACTTGTGATTTAGGTGGCGTCGCGCGTTGGCCGGGAGGAACCGTGGTGGGGGAAGAGCATAAGGGCGGAAGTGCGCGAGAGGTTGGCTGGGTGGCCCCTGCAGGCGTCTCTAGCGGGCCGTCCCTTTTCCGGGTGGAAGTGCCGGTTCCCTTACCGGAAGTGAAAATAGTAAGGGCGGAACTACGAGGGCGGAACGTATGGGAAGGGCGAGGACGGCCTATGGCCACACCCACTTTTCTTCCACAGCCAATAATCGCTCGACTTGGAGCCGGAAGCCCCACCCTTCTTAGGGCGGACATTGCTTCAGCCGGGTGGAAGTGGGCGTGAGGCCCTGGCGGCGGGGAGGGGTTAAGGGCAGGGACAAAGGCAGGGGCGGGGCCTCCCGGCGCCGGTGTGCGTGGGCTCGGCCCCGAGTTTACCGTGACCGTCAATTTTTTCCCCGGTGCTGAGATGCCGTGTATGCGAAATCCGCATTGCTTAATTATTGATAAGCCTATAGGCGTTGTTGAAAAATGTGAAACTATTCTAGAGACAGAAAATCGTGTATTTAAGTCGGGTTTGCATTCGTGTAGAATGTTGTTGAAACCTGTTTCATACTTTCTAAAGCTGAAGAGTTTTACTATCTCATTTGCTTTCTCTGCAGTCAACACACGAATTCGCGAATTTATTTGAAATGCAGAGTGACAGAGACAGGAAGAGATAGGAGAGAGGTTTTCCATGTCATGGTTCCCTCTCCAAAGGCCTGCACCAGCCAGGTGTGGGCCAGGCAGGAGCCATCTGGGTCTCCCGTGTGGGTGCAGGGGTCCAACTCCTCGGCTGCCTTCCGCTGCCTTCCCAGGTGCATCAGCAGAGAGCCGGATGGGAAGGGGGCGCAGCCTGCGTGTGATGCTGGCCTTGCAAGCAGATGCTTAACCCGCTGGACCACAGCACCAGCCCCAGGCTGACTCATTCCAGGCCGTCTTCCGCTGCTTTCCCAGGCACGTTAGCGAGGACCTGGATTGGAAGCAGAGCAGCCAAGACTGGATCCTCTGATCCGACCTGCGCGCCAGCGTCGAACGTGGCGGCTTCACCTGCTGTGCCACAAGGCCAGCCCTCCGTGGTGCTGGTTTCTGTAGCTTCATGCCCAGCAGCTCTGTGACGTGCTTCCAGGCCAGGCCACTGAGGCCTTGTAATATTGCGACCTGAGCGGGAACTTGAACCCAAAGCCGGTAACTGCTCAGCCCCTTCCAGTGGATTCTATAAACGGACATTTAAAAAATGCCCTAGGGCTGCGGCGTAGGAAATGGTGCTCTCAGTTGCTGGTCCCGGGTCGGGAGCCCAGTGGCCTCCCAGGACTGCAGGGGGAGGGTGCTGAACTCAGCAACTCTTAAATCTGCCGTCTCCCCCCGGCCGGCCTCCCCGAGATCTGCCCCCCTCCCCCAGGTGCCAGTGGGGAGGCCTCAACAATTTGAAAGACAGAGTTGGCCTAGCCGGTGGCAGCGTGGCAGCCTTGCCAGGGCTGGAGGAAGGACAGGGCTGTGAAGAAGGACCCACCCTGCGCCTTCCCCACTTCCCTCTCACACCCTCCTGTGACCCAGCTGTGTGGCGCTGGTGTGCCAGGGGCTCTTGGTTGGCACCAAGCAGCAGTCTTAGCCCCCGTGCTGTGCCCTCATGGGTGTGGCCGTCTCTCCCAGCGCAAGGCCAAGTGACAACAGGGGAGTGAAGCCAGGCTAAGGCAGGCCTCCGTCTCCACCCCGCAGTGAGCTGCCCTCACCTCTCAGGGAGCCGAAGCAGCCTGCCTTCTCGAGGCCCGAGCAAGGCGGGACAGGCTGTGGCTGGACCGAGCAAGGCGGGACGAGCTGTGGCTGGACGCCACTGCCGTCAGGCACGTGAGTAGAGAGTGGTGCGGGGAGACGGACACCGCGTGTTCTCTCCTGGGCCTGCAGTGGCAGCCGCCAGCACCCACTGCCATAGAAGAGAGGAGGGCAGGAGGACAGGGCCGGGGAGGTTAGACCAGGGGTGCACCAATACAGCGCCAGAGGAGCAGTTAGTTTTAGAGGTTTTTATTTATTTATGTATTTAAACTTTTTAAAAAAGATTTATTTGAAAGTCAGAGTTACACAGAGGCAGAGAGAGAGAGAGAGAGAGAGAGAGAGGTCTTCCATCCACTGGTTCACTGCTCAATTGGTCGCAACAGCTGGAGCTGCACCAACCTGAAGCCAGGAGCCTGGAGCTTCTTCCAGGTCTCCCACGCGGGTGCAGGGGCCCCAGGACTCGGGCCATCTTCTACTGCCTTCCCAGGCCACAGCAGAGAGCTGGATCGGAAGTGGAGCAGCTGGGACTCCATCTGTGGCCCACATGGGATGCCAGTGTCACAGGTGCCAGCCCCAAGTTTTGTTTTCTTTTCTTAAAGATATTATTGATTTGAAAGTCAGAGTTAGAGAGGGAGGGAGAGACAGAGAGAGGAGACAGAGAGAGAGAGAGAGAGAGAGAGAGAGAGATTTTTCATCCACTGGTTCACACCCCAATTGGCCACAATGGCCAGGGCTGGGCTGGTCTGAAGCCAGGAGCCAGGAGCTTCTTCCACGTCTCCCACGTGGGTGCAGGTGCCCAAGGACTTGGACCATCCTCTGCTGCTTCTGCCAGGCCATCAGCAGGGAGCTGGACTGGAAGAGGAGCAGCCGGGACCTGAACTGGTGCCCATATGGGATGCTGGCACTGCAGGGGTGGCTTTACCTGCTACACCACACACCATAGCGCTCGCCCGGTTTGAGTTCTTGCTTTTTTTTTTTTTTCTGGACAGGAAGAGTTAGACAGTGAGAGAGAGAGAGAGAGAGAAAGGTCTTCCTTCCATTGGTTCACCCCCCAAATGGCTGCCACAGCCGGCGCTGTGCTGATCTGAAACCAGGAGCCAGGTGTTTCCTTCTGGTCTCCCATGCGGGTGCAGGGCCCAAGTACTTGGGCCATCCTCCACTGCCTTCCCGGGCCACAGCAGAGAGCTAGACTGGAAGAGGGGCAACCGGGACAGAATCCGGCACCCCGACCGGGACTAGAACCCGGTGTGCCGGCGCCGCAGGTGGAGGATTAGCCTAGTGAGCCGCGGTGCCGGCCCCAGTTTGAGTTCTTGTAACACAGTGGGGTGACGATAGTTGACAGTTTATGATGTAGTTCAAAATCACTCAAGAGTCCAACATTTCCTAACCAGTGGAAGTGATAAATGTTTGAGAGGGGTTGCACATCACCCTGATTGGATCCTTACCTGGGTACTTATATTGAATTACTGTACTATGCCCCTGAGTGTGTACAAATATTACCTGTCAGTTAGAAGAGAAGGGGGCGCAAGTAACAGCAGCACAGAGGCTCCGTGATGAGTCGGCTCCTCCAGCTTTCTGGGCGCCCCTTCTAGGAGGGGCAGGGAGGGGTCTCCAGGGTTTCCTGTCTCTAGGAGGGGCAGGGAGGGGTCTCCAGGGTTTCCCTTGTCTAGGAGGGGCAGGGAGGGGTCTCCAGGGCTCACATCTTCGGAACAGCCTGACCGCTCTTCACGTGTGCAGCGGTTCAAGAAAGACTAGCCAGCAGACGACTGAGGAACGAGTGTTTATTTCTGCCGTTACTGAGTAATTGATTTCCACTTCGAGAAGTGAATTGAACGAGTCCTCCCGGCGGTCAGGATGGCTCGGTTAGCCTGTGCTAACAACCCCCGGACCTCACTGGCTTAAAAGAACAGAGGCTTAGTTCCTGCGCACTCACACAAACCGAGGTGCAAAACGGACTGTTCTCCCATGTCCCATGCGGGAGAAGCAGGGTGCGTGGATGGACACAGAGCCATGGCTCAGATGAACACCCTGGCACGTGAGCTCATGCGACATTGTGCCACACGGTCAGCTTAAACTGTACAACTCTTTGTTGGGGGATTTAAAAAGGCCCGAGGACCCAAAGATGGGCTGAAGAAAATCCAGCTCGGACCAAGGGAACGCCCCCACTGTGGAAGGAACCGAGAGCCACGGGAGCTTAGAGAGAAAAGGCCCGCACGTGCGCCACGCCGGATCCCGTGTCAGCCTGTGAACCGCCGCGCGCTGCCGCCGCCCACGCAGTCCTAGCTCAACAGGGAGATGGAGCCCAGACGCCCGATGTGGAAGGCCACGGAGGGCCCCGTGCTGGGGCGGAGGGCGGGGCCCACGGGCTGGAATCCTCTTCCTCCAGTGGAAGCTGCGGAAGAAGGGAGGGCGGGGCAGTCACACCTCCCCTCTGTTCAGATAAAGGAAGCCTGTGTGTATTTGGAAGGCAGAGTGACAGAGGAGGGAGAGAAGGGAGGGGGGGAGGAGGGGGGCGAGCGAGCTTTCACCCAGGGCCCACTCCCCGGAGGCTCAGACCAGTCACAGCCAGGCGTGGTCCAAGGAGGAGTGGGGGCCTCCACCAGGCCTCCCACACGGGTGGCAGGAGCTCAGTGCTGGGACCCGGCTGGCGCCCAGTGCAGCGGCAGGCAGGGAGTAGCTGGGCCGCAGCGCTGCGCACCCGGCCCTCTGTGCAGACTTTCCTCCCTGTTCTCACCTCCGCCTGCCTCCCTTCCCTCCAGCACAGCTCAGTCCCTGAATACAGCCCTGCCTAGCCAGAAGCCTTCGCGGCCAGCGTCAGTCTGGCGGTCAGGTCAGGACGCCGGTCTCAGGTGAGGGCCGCGTTCTGTCCCGGCTGCGGCTCCCGACCCCAGCTTCCTGCTGCTGCAGAGCCTGGAAGGAGCAGCCCCTGGCACCCGCAGGAGCCCCGCTGAGCTCTCCGCACCTGGCACCCTGCTTTGGCCTCGTCCATCCCTGGCTACTGAGGGCGTTGGGAGTGGATCACCAGACGGAAGTGCACACACGCTCTCTCTGCCTCCCAGATGAGTGCGCAGGAAGAGAGAGCAGCATTCCCGGCTCTCTGCTTGTCCTGGTCTGGACTCCCAGCCCGTGGCCCAGGCCGCCCCAGCCCCGTCTCTGTGCTCCAGGCCCTCAGCCCCTCTGTTCTGCTCCAGAGTCGTCAGGGAGCCGTGTGAAGGCTTCCCGCTTCCCACCCGACCCCCTCGGCCAGACCCGCAGCTCTCAGTGGGCGGCTTGGGGCTGGAGCGGGCCCGGCTCTGCCAGTGTCTTACTGTGTGCTCTCGGCCCGTTCCTTGAAGTCAGGATGCTGGACATTTGGTGCTGAGTGCAAAGCTGGTGAAGGGGATGAAGTGGGGACGCCTCCAGTGCAGCCCGGGGACAGGCTGAGGAGTGAGGGGCCCAGGCCTGGAGACCCTCGCCCAGGGTTACCCCCGCGGCCTCCCCTTGCCCAGCCGCCCCTCGTCGTTGGCTCCTTCCAGGGAGCAGGTTACCTGGTGGGCCACAGGGGTGGAGCAAGGAGATCCAGGCAGGGTTGGGGGGCACGGAAGGGGTCAGGCGGGGAGCCTGGGATGAATCTTTCAGGCCTACGAGGGCCTCAGCTGCCTCTCGCTGTAGCTGCCGCTCTGAGGGGGCTGGTGTCCAGGCCAGGCGAGAGGCCCCAGGGGCCTGCAAAGCAAAGG